GGTCACCGGTGGTTAGAGACGCTGAGTGTCGCAAACAGTGGCGCTCGTGCATCTAACCATTACTCTTGCAATCTGTCTATATGAATTCTTTATCTTACGTTTGACTCGACATTCCAATCTTCCTTCTGCTCTTTTACCCCAATGGGCTGTCAAAAGACAGCAACCAAAACAGGCGAACGGTTAATGGTTGTAAAAACGGAATCGAACTGAACCACCAAAGTTGGGTGTCGGTATCGGAGTTCGAAATTCGGACCATATAGTTGTTTCGTATTTTACACGCGTCTAAATCCAGACTGTGCTAAACAAATCATAGTACAATAATATTTATTTGTTTGTGGTTGGAATACTGTCAGATTACCTAGACCACGGGCCATAGAAACCAAAGAACGCCGGTGACAGTAACGAAACCACTGCGCCACCACCATTAAATTGACTGGATCAGCAACTTGAAGTTCTGATATCACAGAAGCAAAAAGCAACAGCTTTTTAGCCTTCCTTATATGCAACTCACCCACATCTCGATGAAATGAACATAGAGTCATATCCATGACAAACCAAAAAAACCCCTGACATTCGGATTACCAGACTGTCAGTAGACACGTGTACACTACCAAATAACTTTGAAGGCTCACGAAAATACTTCGGTTGAGGGAACAAAATCAAGAATAATGAATAAAATGTGAGAATATCACTAACCTGCCCGATAGCATTGCAGGACATATGCACTGAACCAGTTGAGCCACCCGTTGGTGGTAGTGGTGGTGGTGGTGGTGGTGCGATGCTGCTAGGCGAGTGCCGAGAAACTCCAACTGGCGGTGAGATGAGCGAAGCGTTTGTGTCGTGTGCAGCGACAGTCGTAGCAGCGGAACCAGCACTTCTTGCTGGGACTGTATTTGCTGTAGGCACAGGAATCTCGGAGCTTAGAGTGTTGACGGATAGAGCTGATAATTGCGATGCACGAGACTGGTTAGTAAACGGTAAGACAGGGACCGAAGTTGAGATTGGTGGTGTAGTAACATGTGGTGGTGCTGATTTGACAGGTCCATCCATCGAATTCGGTGCTGGTGTATGTTTAACCCCAACAGTGGAACGCGATTCAAGCATTTGCTGTGCCCAGCGTCGTAAGTATGCAAGTGCTGGTGGATTATCTCCATCCGAATTAGCAATGTTGTTTTCAACTGGACCAACTCCTGCGACAGCGGCCTGAGCGATGGCCATCAAAACTGAGGGTTCGAATGCGCCACCGAAGCGCTCCAACAATGCCTGAATAGCATCATTGGTTAGCGGAGGTGCGGACATAGGAGGACTCCGGCCGGGAACGAGAGGTGAGACGGCTGGAGGAAGTCGACCGGGGTGGCGAACAGATGGTGGTTGAGGTTGACTGGAATTCGGAGTAGTGAACGGCGGTCTAAGCAGCCCCACCACGTTCGGATGATGCGCCGTCTGGGACGGATTCTGACCAGGTGCATTGGTGAGTAACTGTGTCTGGTTGTTTAAGGAAGCCGGTGAAATAACTGGTAACGACGCACTGACTGGTGGATGCAGCATGCTAGGCTGGCCCAGTTGCTGAGATGGTGGCATCGGCCGAGTAGTTTGCATTACTCCCGTCGAAGGGCGATCCATCGAAGTTTTAATCGGATGAAGAGGCTGTTGTTGAGCGTTTGACACCGATAAGGTTGTAAGTCCAATTGCGTCCATAAACATGGAATCGGATGGAGCAGATACAACGACGCGTTTAGCGTGCACAGGGACGCTGGGTGGTAAGACAGGGGATCGTGTAGTAGCGTTCAGCGTCTGTAGCTTGTTGGTCAAATGCGTAACTGAAGATACCGGTACAGTCACTGGTGGCGTATTGTTTGGGACAGATTCCGGTAGTGAACGTGGTGCTGGCTGATTACGGGCTGGAGGGTGGGCAACGCTGCTCGTGGACGTTTGATGTTGAACGATCGACTCTGCCGAGCTCACGACTGCCCCTGGAGCTGGAGTAGGCCCCACAGGATNCACAGGATTGGGCTTTGTCGAGCATTCGGTGGTAGGAACCTTATCTTTGACAGAGCTCTGTGAACAAGTCGTTTCTCGTGTGGTCTCCGTAGAAGCTTGAACTCCTCCACCTGTGGCTGACAATACTGCAGCCTGTGCACGAGAAGAGAAAACACGAGTGATACTCAATACACAAATTCAAGTATCAAACCAATCAAGGAATAACTGTAACCTAGCGGTGGAATCTTATAACAACTGCTGCATGCAAATTACATTAAGAATGTTTACCCAAGTATTAAGTTACAACTAACTGATTATATTATTTTAATTTACAAGTGCCTGAGTCCAGAATGTACACAGAAATATTTGGCAAATATCGAAATCAGTGAGTTTTAGGATGACTCATACTATTCTGAAACTCGACCATGTTAATGTTGGCGAAATATTCCTCTACACGGTGTAACAGGCAGAAGTCACGAGTTGATACACCGGCAAGAAGACTAACGAAGTCAATATGGACTTCAAAAAATTGATATCTAGGCTCTCTACCCTTAGGTTACAAAATTCTATTCCACGAAATGCCACAAGAAAATCCGACATAACGTGACTTTCTAAACGTGGTAATAGTACACTGTTGAGCTTAAATCGTGCGACAATTACCTGCAGTAAGTGAAAAACCACTCTTTATTAAGTGATACTTACTGTGATGTTAGCGGCTGCCTGGCGAGCAGCATTCACTGGCAACGTGATCGTGGTCGCCGAAATCGCTCCAGATCCCACACCGCCTACAGTGACCTGACTCCCGGGGATACGTTGCAAAGCCGCTAACAGAGTGTTTAATAATGCATTCCCAGTGGCAATGTTGACCACATTGTTTGATCCGTTTTTACCGGGCGTGATAGTTTTGGCCCCGTTTGAATTTACTGGAATGGTCACGGCGGCCACCACAGGTTCCGAGATGGCCAGAGGGAATGATTTGGGGACGGAAATCGGGGCTGGAGCGAGTTTGGCAATCGGAGCACTGGGGTTCGGCAAGGATGCGACCATCGGTGTTGATATTGGTGCGGAGACGTTGGTAGTATTGACGACAGGATTCACGGTGACCGTAGACGACGCGGTTGGCGCAGTAGAAGTTGTCGTTGTTGTCGCCGCGGTAACCGGACTACAACTGGAAACAGTGCTGCCCGTGACAGTAGTTGTTACAGTGGTTACTGCTAATGTCGTGGAGCCAGAGTGAGATTGTGGAGTGATTCGCGGACTACTTTTTGTCTGACGACCGGCACCAGAAGGGTGTTCTGTCCACCAACTATTCATGTAACTGCGCACATCAAACTGCCCAGCACATACATCTCGAATCACTTCATCTACGCTGTCAGACGAAGTGACAGTGGACGGAGGAGCGGTAGTAGTAGTAGTACAAACAGTAGCTGTCGTAGTTGTAGCTGTGTCCGTACTGATTGTCTGATGAACCGATTGTTCGCAGCCAAAACTGGACACTGGACTCAAACTGGAATGAATGCTGGACGGTGAAGAACATGGTGGGACGACAGAGGCCGATGCAGTCACAAGTTTTCGAACACTAGCAGATCCATTTGGTTGTGATGGAGTGGGCGAGGGGCATATCGGAGGCGTCGACCGGTGGTGATGCAGCTGACCGTGTTCAAAACCGACTGGAGATTCATCATCAAAGTTAGGCTCGTACGGATCTACAGATACCTGGCCTTTTTGAACGGATCCATTGGAGGTTACGTTTTGGGTTGTTTGGTTGTTAGAATGCACTGCATCAGAGACTGTGGAGTCGTTAGTGCTTTGCTCATTCGTTGAGTTCAATTTCCCCGTGGGATCGGTACTAAGCGTCATTGATGCGGTTGAGCATACCGTTTGAGGTGGATTTGTTTCTGATGTTGAAACAGTTGTACTAACATTCGGTACAACTGTACCCGGGTTATTCATGGTTTCTTTGTTTGTGCTTCCGGCTGGAACTTTACTCTCGGACCGTCTGCGACGCCGCCCACTTCCAACATTCGTTGACCTTGAAGAGGTCAACTGGGATTCCACTCCCAAGGAGACCAATTCTGGTCGTTTGATGGACCCGTGAGAAACGCCGTTGTTTTGCTGTTGCGATTGCCTCGTCACACGACCAATGACCACCGGGGCAGTCAGTTGTGGTGAAACAGCCAGCGGTGCGCAAGCATTTACGCCAGGAATCGAAGGAAGATGAAGGTCAGCGGATGAATTCAACGTCGAAGTGGACATCTGTAGAGTAGCCGCGGGAACTGATGTAGAGACAGTGGACGGATTGTGACAAGCGACTGTCGGGACAACACCTGTGCCACAATAAGTCAGAGCCGTGGAAGGTTGAGGTTGACTAGATGAGCTAGACCACTTAGCAGCAGTGACTAATCCCGATTTCACCGAGGTGCATGCACTAGTGGACACGAGCAATGGTCTTCGATTGCTGGCAACACCACGCTTGCTGCCTGTCGAGCTGGTGTTCGTTCCGGTGGGGACGGGTGAAATCCCATCATGTACAGAGCGAGCAGTAGCACCAGAGTAGGGATACTGAGAACCTGCAGGACAACCAGCTGCTGGGGTTTGGTAGTGCGCGGCGGCTGCAGCAGCCGCAGCCTGTTGCGACTCCTCAACACGCTCTGCCTTNTTTGCACGTATCGGGTGATATCATGCGCTTCGATCGGAGGACCGGTACTGGTTTGGTGTACTGTACCCGCAGAGGCTTTTGGCGGTTCGACTACTGTGGAATGAACACGGGTAGCTGAGATAGGAGGAGACTGTACAGTTGCCGTAGGAGCCCTCTTGGGAATATCCGTTTCGTCCGGTGTTTTGGTCATTTTCAAATCAGCTCTGGGTGTTGGTGTGGCACATGACGGAGCAGGAACGAGCCCGCTTCTGGGCGTAGATTGTCCAACAGGTCTTTCTGTAACTTGGTCACACAGACGTTGAGGGGAGGGTGAGGTAATCTTGGACGTCTCCGCTTCAACTTTGGAACAAGCGGTAATGGGAGGAGCAACAACAGGCACGACAGACTCCGGTGGTGTTGGGTCAACAGGAATAGGAGCGGCAACACTATACGTAACGGTAGTCAGACTTTCATCTGATGATTTCGGTGCAGATCGATCAGTCTCATTCGCGATGTCAGAGGAAACGGGCTCTTGGACTAGCGCAGATGACTCACAACTAGTGTTTTGTATCTTCGAAACTGTGGATGTCGATGACTCACGCAGATGTGATGAAGACAATGAAGACTCCTCCGACGTAATAATACTCTCAACTTTTGTCGAGTTAGTCGTAATGGAAAGCGAATCACCGCTTGGTCTAGCATCATCCGACTCAAAGGAATGAGATATTGCCTGTTGATCTGGTTTCACAATCGGTGGAGACTCTGGTTGTTTCGGCGAAGCAACATCCCCGTCAAGTTGCCTGTGGTCTTCTGAGGCTTCGGTTTTAAGTTCCGTCGGCTCCGAAGAAACGAAGTTGGGTTTCTTTTCGCTTATAACAGGAGAAGCGGTACTGTAGAGTTGTGGTGTGTGAGGAGTCACCTCTGGTTTGTTTGAAGGTATATTACTATGCAAATCTTCGGATGACACAGTGACCCCGGTGCCACATGACTTAGCAAAGTCAACCACTGCTTTATGCAAAGATTCATCATCTGAGTCATCCTCGGATGGAGTCCGCAACTTACACACAGGCGAAATCAGCTGTGAAGAGAATGAAGTGGATTGGTAAGTTGTTGACGAATGTTCAGTCTTCGCATCGCCACGACAAAAGTCCACATCGAATTCCAAGTTGTTCGGATTGGGTGAATTCGAACCAACACTTGAGTGCCACTCATCGTCGCTAAACTTCATGTCCAAATTGCGTTCGATTAATTCGGATTGTTCCATGGGCTCAGTTGACGGAGTGGATTTGGAATTTGTTGAGAACCGATCGGAATCCATGAAAACGTCGTAGATTGAATCACGATCGTCTCCCAAACGACTATGCGGATCACTACATATGGACGTGTTGATCGAGTATTGCTTGCGATAGTGCGGCGTCAGATGAAGCGGACTACGAACACTAACACGAATGGGAGACGGACTGCGAGTGCCGGATATGCTAGAGTCATCAGTTCCGCTGTTCAAGCCGGAGGAAATTCGACCAGTTTTGTACGCCTCCGGTTTGCGTGATCGAACATTCGGATCACTCGTCCCGGTTGTGTGCGAGATGGAATCTGAGCACTTGATGTCATCTGCCTCGGAATCTGGAACTTCATCAGAAAAGTAGGCTGCTTTCGGGCTCTGTCCACGGTGACTGGATTGTTTACCTGGGTAGAGACGTCCGTGTGATTCCGAGGATATGGTTTTGTGTGACAGCCGGTGACGCTTGGTTGATTGCTTATCTGGAAATTCCTCCAGCTTACGTTTAGATCCGGAAACCGGTTTACCGCGCTTATCGATTATCGTGGACCTGGATCGATCAGTTATCGCATCGAATAGTTGGGATTTCTTTTTGTTCAACACTTCATTTCGAACAGGGGAACTTTCGCGACCTTTTCGATAAACGGGCTTGGCAGTAGAACCAGTGATTGGAGAATGCAAGTTACACACAGGATCGCGTTTCAAGCTGTGGGGCGTCAAATGTCCATGCTTTTCCGTATGCACTTCATATGCCCGACAGTGGGACTGGGCGAATATCGAGACTGGCGAGGCTGATTGTTTCGGATTATCAATTTGAGGATGATGATCAGATCGACCGTCACTACTGGAACAAGACAACGACGAACTGAGCCGACTTAACGAATCGTCATCCCGATCAGGAGACCATGATGTTCGATTCGATTCTTTCGGACGCACACATTCATGGTACGTAGCCGAAACAGGAAATCGCATGCCCAAGCTTAGACGAGTCAGAGTGCCGGGAGGTGAACACGAGTTTCGATCATCATCACCACTGGATAACGATGAGGACACAGAACTTCGTTCCCGACGGGATCGTTTAGCTTTGTGTACACGTTTGTGGGCGGACTTTGAACTTAGTTCAGTTGATCGAGGCTTGTTGGTATGCGACGACCAGGTACGCTCTATGGGCGATGTTTTGGGCGAGTGCCAAGAACTGGAATAGTCATTCACGACACCACTGCCACCATTAGTGAGAAAGTCTTTCTCTCCGATTTTACTCTTTAGATAAATGGCTGATCGCTTTGAACTTTTACGTAGGGATGAGTCAGATTTAGCTTTCTCTGACTTGGAGCAACGAGACTTTCCACTAGAATTCGTCCCAGCGGTTTTTGCACTGTGCTCACTCCCAAAAGACTCTGGAGGTGTGAACGGAACGCTCGGAGGTGAACGCGTCAATTGATCCTTCTTTCGTTGTTTTCGACGTTTCTTTTCTCTGGCGTCCATGGCTTCTTGTTGTCGTTGCCGTCGTTCTTCTGCTTCTTTATTTGTACGTCGTTTGATTTTGTCGTACATCGACTCGTACACGGGTGACCCCAGACCAAACCAGTCTGTGTGTGACCGAGTTGAATCACTTAGAGGAGTTTTGTCACATGACAAGTCCATGGATTGCGAGTTGAATCGTCTACCCGTATCCAAATTGGTCAGATGGGGTGGGGCAGAGACCGGAGTGGATGGATGAGATGTGTTGCCACTTTTTCCATTTCGTTTTCCACCGAAAACTTCACCATGAGCGGACAATGCAGACGGTGAGGTGACCGTTGTAACAGCGTTATGCGGTTCCGTCTCTGATCCGGATAGACGAATGGATACCGTGAGTGGAGAGGTAGATAGAGGAGAGCTAAATGCTGCCGCAGACGCCGAGGATTGAGGAGGCACCAAATTACCACCGGTAGAAATATGAAGTTTCAGACCAGAGGCGTTTTCGCTAGAATAGATACGCGCTTTGCGATCAGATGAATTGGAGTGAGATATACTTTGCCGCCCGTTTGTATCGATCCCTTTGGATTGGTTGAGACTGGAAGGAACAGAGGGTCCTGGACCAGCAGAGGTAGATGCTGGTAGCAGCCTATGTGTGTGTGGATGACTTGGTGCCATGGTTGTGGTCAACTTGGAACTGCTGATTGAAGTATGGTGTGAGGAGACTAGATTGAAGGGACTGCTTCCACTGCTACTATTACTGCTGGTGCTGCTGAAACTTCGACCGCAACTACTCACTCCGCTGCTGGCACTCGATGGATTTGGAATGCCGACCGGACTGACGCGCAACTCGCCCTGACTCAAAGTACCGGACGCTCCTCCATGGGTGACGGCGACAGGAGCGCAGTTTTGTGAACCGTGATTTCCAGGGTGACTGGTGGATTGTGTCTGTGCAGATACCGCCGAGTTCGATACTGGATGGGAATTGTTGGGAGGAGTACTTGAAATTCGAGTTAAGACATTGCTTAAACTCGAAGACGGACACACGGTCGAACCGATACCCGGACTAGATAATCCGCCACTGCTGGCTGTGGAACTCCGAGCTGGTGATAGGACAGCCGAGGCAATGGTGGTCATGACAGTAAGTGCACGACGTACAAAACCTCCGGAGGTACCACTGTGTTCATTTATCCACGTATTATCCACAGCATCCGGGTGTGTTTTGCTGGCGGAAAGAGATGATGCCGACTCAGATGCGATTCGGTGCAGTGACTTCCGATCCCCATTTTGAGTCCTTTTCCCACTTGCAGAGGCGGTGTGCAAAGGACTGGTATGAGTACCGTGTGGTGAGGGTCTAGATGCACCTGCCAATCGAACTCGATTGGATTTCGATGAAGGAGCAGGTGGATCCGCAATCGGCCGACGGGCGCGCGATCGCGACGAGGAACCGGACAAGGAGCTGGGCGAGCTGACACTTGAAGACGACGACGAACTGCTGCTACTTTCGCTGCTGCTGCTGCTACTACTGCTACTGCTTTCACTGGTTTCACTGCTCAAGCTGCTACTGCTGCTGCTTGTGCTCAGGCTACTAGGACTACTCTCTCGACTGACCTCCATGCGATCTAAAGATTGCGCACTGGAGAATACGGAGTTACGAAAATTCGGAACTGTTGTAGCGGTTGTAGTCGATAAGGAACCTGGATGAGATGACCGTCGACATGGGTCTTTGGGAACAGACGTTCTGGTGCATGACCGGACGTCTGAACGAGCGTAATTCAAATCTGAGCCAGAACAATTTTCCGGATAAGTAGCTGTACCGATCACCGATTCCGTTGGACCGTTTCCAGCTGAAGTGAGTACGGTACCAACCGCAGAGCAAGCTACTGAACCGCTGTTACTATTCGCTGAATGAGAGTAGCGCGAATCCCATGACGTGCGTGGATTGCTTGGTCGATGCGGTACCGGAGAACCAGATTTGAATGAAGATCGGACAGGACTGGATACACCGGGAGATAGGGTTCGGGAGATCGCATGCACCGCGGTTAACGATGAACAATTCGTGGGCGACCCCAAATGCGGTACCATGTTCGTCCCCAAACGTTTAGCCAGATCAAGAGATGTTGCGGAAATAACTCGGATGCGAGCAGAACCAGAGGCAGATCTGAAATTAATGACAGGATGAGGACATGAAAATTATAGCAACACAAAAAGACGTATTTTCATATTCATAAAGATAAATGATGTCAACAATAGCAAATAACACCAGAAAAGCAGTGGTCAACCGATTTACGTCATTGACACGACACTGAGATGGTGAGTTCGAATCCCGCCGCCAACATTTCCCAAATCCAGTAGCCTTTGATTATTGACGGTAATCCTTCTTTCATTTCATAGCTATTCACCCAGCTTGAGCTTTCCATCAAAATGACAAGGGGAACTAAACGGACGTGTCCTAATCTTGTGCTTCCGATTCATAAGCACGAGGAAAGGAAGGGATCGAGAGAATGATGCACATACTAAGAAAATAATGGTCCACACACACTTATTTTAATGCGCCATATATATTGTCCACCATAGTGTATCACATTCCCGACCCAATACAACGAAACGCTGTACAAGTGATTCACCGAAGAACCAAACAGTTATTGAGACCATTTGGGGCCACTACTGACTGATACAGTTTTAGCCAATTTGGAAGTGGACCATTAAAGGATAATGGATAATCTAGATCCATAGGCCAGATAAATGGCGAACATTTATCATTCTTGATTCTACAGTGAGCATCACGAAACCAATTCAAGCATTCAAAAACGCTCCCACAAGTATACAATTCGTAAGCAAACGTGGGTTGGAGACTATACAATTTTGAATTTCGGCCTACTGACATATGAACGGAATTCAGCTGGTTGTCAAGCGTTAAAGGGCGATCAGAATTTGCAGTCTGAGGACCTTAGATGGTGAGCTGATAAGGGAAGTGGATACTGTAAAGCACCTATTGGGCGATGCGTGGAATCGGAATAGAACGGTGTAGAAAAAAATTAAGTGTTCATGAATGTTTTATTCAAATTGTCTCATCAATTCCAATATTTTGGCACTTGTAATGGAACAGGATACCTGAACGTTGTCCAGTCACCCTTCTAAAAGGAACCGAGAGGAAGCTCAACAGCTGATTCTTGTAACATTAGATCGATAGTGGATACAGGATCGATGCACACAAGTTTCGTCGAGAACCGAACTCAAGGTGTGAACGTATCCAAGATTACGAAACCGGATTACTCCACCAACGTCACCTGGTCCAAGCTGTTTACATTGATCGTAAAGCTGATTATCCGAGATCACTATGATTTCCTACTTCTCTCATTCATAGACTTTTGATCAAACTTCACACCTGTTCTATTAGTTTTTGAAGAACATTTTTATCGCATAAGGAATACACTATACATCTTATACAGTACAAACATTTATGACTCTGCTTTTCTCAATATAAATTTGTCATAATCGTGGGGTTTGCTCTCATTCCGATACTTTTGTTACACGCCTTAGTGTGATAATCAGCACACGGGCTAGACCCCATAGTCACGAGGACCTGCTGCTCAGTGATGGAACACGGTAACCCAAGCCCGGGACGTGGAGTGGCGAACCACATAAGGTCCCGACAGGTCAGGCTTGGTATTGAACCCGATGATAGAACAGTTCCCTAACACCAAAGTTGGGTGGTGGTGGTTGCCGGGCTCGAACCCCGGACAGTGTCCAAAGCCCGCCGATGACAGTGACTAAACCATTGCGCCACCACCATCACCAAAATCAAATTGATATTGTACCGAATAAACAAAATATATACGAGAATATCAGGGGTAATATATTGAAAGGAAGTGCGTTTTCGTTCACACCTTCCATGTATAGACAGAAATAATTTACGATCTGTGTCTTATCGATATCATGATGAGCTCTGCTTTAGTCTCGCCCAAACAAGATGTGGAGAGTTCTGTGGACGTATAGAACTCGAGGTGGACTAACATATTGCATGCATTATGTGATTTAACTCATTTTCATGATAGTACACATATCCGTGAGCAAAACGTTACGGATGGATGGATGGAGGGGCGAGGGAACTAAGACAATAATACGCGCTAAGGTGAATCCAACGGAAATTGTGTGCACCTTCATTTTTATACTGGGCAATGGACCGCACCATTGATAGTAGATTACACACAATGCGCTTAAGTCTTAATCTAGGCAGCGCGATTTCGTCACTGGGATCGGGCGGGGGCGGGAGAGTTAGTTCGGGCTCAATTGTTTGGTTTTTGCAGGTACCGTTTTCATTCATCGATTGATGAAATGGTGAAACTCTGTAATCTATCACTAATCTGCATGAAATTTTGTGGTCAGGAGGTAAAATCAACTGAGCAAAAATATGTCAAAACAGTTGTTGTTTCACCGTCTACGGAGAATGCATATTCTGTATTGTTCTACTGAGCAAGCCAAGGTTATGTCAAGTGTTGACTCATGGTACGAACCTTGCAGCACTAATCTGCAAACTTGCAACCAGACTGGTTTGTCTCGCACTGGCAAAGTCGACGGCAAACGGTCGTCTTGTCGCTGGCTTTGGAGGTGACGTCAGCGACGCGTTAGGGGTGGGACGTTCAACGAAATGCTTGCCGGAGCGTAGCTCTGATAGGAGACGTGTCGCATGCTCCACGGAAAGCATACGGATATAGGCCACATAATGTTGGTGTCCCTGTTGCTGTTGGGCGTTGACCGAGGTGGATGGTGCTTGTTGTTGTTGTGGCTGCTGCTGCTGTGTTGATGGTTGATTCAATCGGCTATTGGAGTCAGTCCGATTGATGAGGATTATCTGCGAGAAATGGGAAATATAACGCAATTAATTGAAATAGTTAGTTTATTGTTTATCATAATCGATATGCAGAAATCCTAAGTGGGGATTGAATTAAACGATGAGTGCATAGCTTAGAGGTGTGAACTGTAAGATCCCTTTTACCGTCCAGTACGTTTCGTGACCCATCATAATGGTATCTGAAGCCCGTCAACATAGGAAGGGTTGCACCCACACAAAATGAGTCATTCATTGCTTGGGCCCGGTCGCAAACGCGTTTGACGCGCTAGTATACACCCATGGGCAAATACAGGCGGTCGAAGATGGGAGCGCATGCACGATCGATACAGTCCGTTTTACATTGTCTGGCACTAAGGTCATTTGTTCGGTTAAGCCACACACACACACAGGCGCATAAATAGACACGTCCATGGATGGACACAAACACACAGACACAGAACAGGCTGGGTTGAGAGCAGCGCACGAACGAAACAATGCGCTGTTTGTGGTAGACGAGGGAACGACGGAATGGATATCGGGCAGGCCGGAATGGATCGATAGCCTAAGCGAGGCAGATGGGGCGATGGCATGGGGTGTGTTAGAGGGATGCATGTATAGAATTCGGGTTGGAAGATCACGGATGGATGGACACGCAGGCAGACAGACAAGCAGGCGGATATAAGTGAACAGCCCTACTGCGATCGATTGCTCGGGGCGTGGCTTTTGGTGTGCATGAAACCAGGACAGAGAAAATGCGTCGGACATTATCCCCGCAACAGCGCGTCAGCCTTAGCTCGCTTAGACCTATCGTTCTGGCGGTTGGTGTAGGGTTGTGGGAAATTTAGAAACTCACCC